ACCTACGTCCACTCGTAACTCTGTCTTTGTAATTAGATTTACTTAGTATGTATTTAGTTTAAGTTTTATAAACAATTTGAACAATTTATAGATTGAAAAATGTTTTTCATAGAACAGGGGCAAACTGGCCCGCCCCCGTGGTCATGGACCCGGTTAGCGACTCTCTTTTCTTGAAGGACCCTAAGTCAAATTGTTTCAGCAATACTTCAATTATAATAAGTTATTTTGTGGGATAATGCAGCTGACATTAAATCTATATTTGTAATGCAAAAGCAAGCTATAAGAGCGATCTGTCGGTTGTCCCCACGGAAGTCAGTCCGAAGGAAGTTTAACGAATTACATATTTTGACTTTGGCAAGTCAATACATTTTGTATGTGCGGAAAAATATAGTTGTCTTTAAAAATAATAGTAGCTTCCATAATTATAGTACTCGTAATAAAGACAAAATTAGCGCACCAACAAGAAGGCTGCATAAAACAATTCTTTCCAAGGCAAATGCATACGTCTTTTCAACAAAATCCCTTGTTTACAAGTGTTTTCAATAAATAAATTTTAATCGTACATTAAAGTAATACTGCTTGCTAAGGCCTATTATAATATAAATGAATATTTAAACGATCCTAATGCTTGGATATGAATTGCTCCAGTATAAATAGGTAACGCTACTGAATCTCTTGGCTGCATTTCCAGATCCTGGGGCGATCGTCAACATCCACAACTGTTTTAATGTAAAGTGGGAACAAACCGTGATCAATGTGATATTAAATTATTTCAGTATAAGTAGTATTATTATCATCTTCTTATGTAGCCAAGTTCATATTTCAAGGATCGTCATGCTCGCTTAAATGTCATTGTTTGTGGCGGCGTCCATGCGTCGGGTTGTCTCTATACCTAAAATATTGCGAGGGGGCCGATGGCTGGCCATGCGCCATACTCGTAAACGGGTGCTACTTGTGGTGACTGGTCGTACTTGAATTCGTGTATGGTGATATTAGTTATTTCAACTATGTGTTTGCGTGTTGTTCCCACGAGAATGTAAGTGCGTGCTCATATTTCACCATGCTTCCTGCTGATAGAGGACAAGTCTTTGTTTTTAAGTTATGTTATTATTATTAATTACTTAAGATGTCATGTCGAACATGGTGTAATGGATGCGCAGCTCCTTACAATCGTTGTGTAAAAAATAAACATGGCGATTAAAAAGAGTGGCGGAGAGTTTATTGCCAGTTCTTCTCTTTGGTTCTACGCCCTTGATTTGAGAACTGGCACTAAATGTAAAGTTAGAAGCATTTCATATACATTTTTTTTTGACGATCATAAGTGTACATTGTGTTACCTATATGATTAAATGATTTTTGAATTTTGAATTTTGAATGGGCAGCTGGTTCCACATAGTGGTGGAACGACGGACGTTGATGTGATACGGGTGGAATTTCGTATCCTGCCCCGACATCCGATGATGAAACTCAGCTGCAGGTCTTCTAATGTATAAAAATTTGATAATAGATAGTAGAAGATCAATGACTGAAGAGTAAACCAGCAAACAGACTAAAATATCCCTTGCTCACTTTTAGATCTTTTGTCTTTTTATTATTACTTGGTTAATATTTGTGATAATTGCCTGTGTTTAGTGCTTAACAGTGGTAAATGGAAACAATAGAACACAAGAACAGAATGTCCTTAGAGACTGTATGTAGTGTTGTTGGACACTTATAATAAACTCTATAAGTAAATTAAGTTACATTTAAGTTAGTCTTTAGTAGTGATGTAGAAAAGTATTAATTATTAAATGTTCACTTCTACAGACTCAACTGTTCGCTATTTTAGTATTAACAAAGTCCTACGCGATTGTACCAACTCCCGGCAACAATGTAAGGATGTGATGAACATTTTAATGTGCCTTAAAAGCTGTAAATCCCAACAACAGACATAATTAACACCCGGGTTTAATGCGGAGGACAAATTTTTAAATCACCTCAAGTTATGGTCCAATATAAGTATTCCTTTATAATAAGTACATCGTAAATCCTACAGCTTGTATTGGACAATTGATTGCGATACTTTTATGGCGATAAAAATTAACAGAATTATATTGAAAAGAAGGAAGGGGAAAAATAAAAAATTAGGGGGGTGGGGGGGAAAAAAAAATTTTTTATAAAGAAAATTTTTGGGAAAAAAATTATAATAAAAAGAAAGCTTCTTAGCAGTCTGATTTAAATAACTGTTATTTTATTTTATAAGAGCAGTGTTGGCCTAGTGGCTTCAGCGTGCGACTCTCATACCTGAGGTCGAAGGTTCGATCCCCGGCTGTGCACCAATGGACTTTCTTTCTATGTGTGCATTTAACATTTGATCGAACGGTGACGGAAAACATCGTGAGTAAACCGACATGTCTTAGACCCAAAAAGACGACGGCGTGTGTCAGGCACTGGAGGCTGAACACATACTTGCCTTAAATCTAATTAAAAATTATCATGAAACAGATTCAGAAATATAAGGTCAAGGCTTAAAGAAGTGGTAGCTCCACTGTTTTATTATTTTTTATTTTATTTATAAAAACGCTCAAAAGAGTATTTTCATAACAATTCATGCGATATACCAGAAATATTATTATAAAAGATCATTTAATAATTTATGTATGCAAAAAAGTGAATTGACAGTGACAGCGGCTTAATGTCAAGTGTGAGATTGAGGTAATTTAGTTTCCATTGTCTTTGAAAAAAAGACGAGTATTAGGGAATTAAATTAACACAGTTTTACTTCGACAAATATTTTTAGTACATTACCACAAATATTTCAATGTATACGTTTAAGTGCAGTGTTGGTCTAGTGGCTTCAGCGTGCGTCTCTCATACCTGAGGTCGTAGGTTCGATTCCCAGCTGTGCATCAATGGACTTTCTAACTATGTGCGCACTTAACATTCGCTCGAACAGTTATGAAAAACATCGTTAGGATATCGATATAGGAACCGGCTCGTCTGAGACCCGTCAGACGGCGTGTGTCAGACACAAGAGGTTGATCACCTATTTGCCTATTAGATTGAATAATGATCATGAAACAGATACATAAATCAGAGGCCCAGAATTAAAAAGGTTGTAGTGCCACTGAATTTTTTGACTATACTTATACATATAAATGTAAAACAGGACAATATATTTTAAGTACTTTATATAATGGTTAAATTTTAATATAGTTTATAGTTAACCTTAGTTCAGACCTCATCCCAAGTTGTTTACAATAATGTTGGTAATTAGTCATGATTAATCGATTAATTTCCATGTTCTATAACGAAGGAGATTACTTTGACATGACAGTTATGTCCAGAGTAGTTAGTCCTAATTGATTGCCAATCTTTGGCAGATGTTCAACCTTTCTTACAATAAAGGTCACAAAAGAGTGTGCGTTTACATCTAGCCTTTAGAATAATTATGGCTAATAACTAATATTATTTTGACTTAATTTACTTCAATACCAGTGGATAGCTTAATCTAAGGTAATGTTCACTTTACGTTATTTTTAACCGATTTATAACTCTAGTAAGATTTTGGAAAACTACTTCCGTACGCATAGGACTGTGCGTTTCATTAAAAGCGGTCACCCGCGCGTGACACGTTCTTGATTTTCGGTCTACGATTTTCTCACTATCCTTTTCTTACTGTAGGACCAAGTGTTGCATTGAAAATCCATTGATGCATAAGGATTCGAAGGTACAACGCCCGTACTCTGTAACTCCCAAAACGGTAGCAATTACGATCCCAACATTTGGTTACTGTACGGGGTGATATCATCGGATATTGAGGATAAGATTCAGAAACGAGAATTACTTAGCTTAAACCATGACTCCCATTTGCCAAAAATCTAAGTTTTTGCACTATAGCATAATTTTTTTTAAAATGTAGTAGGAGTCAAACTGGCAGGAGGCTCTCCAGATGTTACATAAAGAGAGAGAGAGCAGTGGCTTTAGTGTGTGACTCTCATCTCTGGAGTCGTAGGTTAGATCCTGTGCACCAATGGACTTTCTGTCTATGTGCGCATTTAACACTCGCTTGTACGGTGAAGGATAACATGAGGAAACCCTCATGCCTTAGACCCAAAAATTTATATATCAGATATAATATAATAGATATTAATACTTGCCTATTAGAAATGATTGCGAAACAAATACAGAAATCTGAGGCCCAGACATAAAAGTTTGTAGTGCCATTGGTGTATATTCCATACTTAGGTAGGGGTACCGCTTTCGCTCTTATTATTACTTACCAAGTTATAATCTGGCGGTTGGCTTATATTGTTTAACAAAAATGTATGAGATATAGCGGTGTTATATTAACTTAATTTTGTAGTGAAATTATGTTACGCTCGTAAAGAGGGATGTGCTTCTAGGTACTAAAGGAAAACTTTGAAATTTTGTTGAAGTGAAGTTTAATCGTGCATAACTTGTTAGTGCGGGATTTATTTTCTAAAATTTGTTTTAGAATGCTCTACAAACTATACGTATGTAACGTAGATTAAAATATGCATTTTAAACTACGTTATAAGACCAGAGAGCATTGTTAGCTTAGTGGCTTTAACGAACGATTCATCCCTGGGGTCGTAGGTTCTATCCCCGGCTGTGCACCAATGGACTTTGATGTCTAGGACGCACTTAACATTAGCTTGAACGGTGAAGGAAAACATCTCGAGGAAACCAGCTTGCCTTAGACCCAAAATTCGACGGCGTGTTGCACTCACAGGAGGCTTATATCATACTTGCCTTTTAGATTGGCAAATCACATACAGAAATCTGAGGCCCAGACCTAAAAAGGTTGAAGTTCCATTCCTTATAAGACCATATGCTATTTAAGCATTTCGACTATATTAAATAAACCCATGAAATTTGAATTTAAAAAAAATAATAATATCATTGTTAACTTGATGTCAGGACTAATCTAGAAAGGTCAATGAATAAAATAAAACAAAATATATTCTTACACTAACTATAATTAAAATAAAACAAATTTACTTCCGCGCGGTGAGATCACTACTAGGGGCGAGGCGAGCAGCTTGTAGGAGTATGTCCCGTTTTTCTTTAGGGAACCGGAGTTCCCTGGCAGCCACCCTGGCAGCACGGAGCTCCCTTTCCGCACGGGCGAGCTCATTCCTTATGACTCCACCTCCAGCGGCTGCCTCGCGTTCCCTAGATGCCCATTCCCTGGCCATTTGCTCGCGCATGGCATCGTCGAGTGCCCGCGCTGAATAGTGCGCGACCACCTCTTGTCTTGAGCACTGTCTTTCGCGCATTGCGCGGAGCGATCCGTTCCAATGTAGTAGCTGGAATACTGTCATCAATTCCTGGAACTCCAGCATTGTACGCCCTTTGTTCGCTTCCAGCATAAATCTGTTGAAAAAGACCAGTTCAGTACAAGTCAAGTTAAGCCTCATAATTGAAGGGTTTTACTAATCACCTAGAAAATAAAGAAGCAAAATCATTATTAAAGTAGTATATGATTAGCTGGTGGTTCAAGACTGGGATCTCGGTCGGGGGGGATGTCGGATAAAAGCCTGCCAATGCCTTAGCGAACACTGAGGGTCTAACTTAAGGACGTGTAGAGGGCTGCGGTGTTTTAAAGGGTAGGGTTTCACTACCCCTCTGAATAGCAGATGGCTTTGAGTGTAGACCCCACGTCAAGCTCGAAATTCATGGCGCGGCGACATGCCTGCGCAGCGCATTTTCACCTCATCAGAAATAAGGTAAAGGTATATGACTCATTTTATGTTACCTTAATCAATAATTATTAAACTTATATTCATAGATTACAGTTATTTACCTTGTACTCGTATACAAGTTTTTAATAGTTCTGAAATGTATTTGTGATAATTAAGGGTAATAACGGCTAAAGTTGAAAAAAATTTCATAAGAGCCATTTGAAAATTGACGAATGGGATCGTTGGTATTTGTTAAAGACCGATAGATAAAAACATTACACGCTGAATCGAGAAGGCCCTTCTTTAGATGTGAAAAGTGATGTCTCTGTGCCTGTGAAAAGCATTTACCTGAAAGCGGCAATCCCAGCATTCGGATCCTGGTGATGGGAGCCAGCGTCCCCCGCGAAGGAGGCGCGTGCTTCCGCCACGGCCTTCTCAATGAAGTTATCGGATATCCGCCTGGACTCATGGTCATTGAACACACTATTCATAAGTGCTATCTTCGCAGCACTGCGGCGAGCCTCCGCTTTTGTTGGACAGTTCTGTGGAACATATTTTATTAACGGTTTTAAAACACCTGCTAATATATTGATTTACAATTAAAATAATAAAAGGGTAACTGGCGGACTTATCGCGTTCGAGCGATTTATTCTTAAAGACCACTGTGAGAAATAATATATTAAATTGGATAAGATGAGCGCAAGAAGTGAAAAATAAAAAGTACATAAGGCAATTACTTCGGCAAAAATAATGGAACAAAACAAAGCAATTAGGACATATTATGTAAACAGTGAAATGGACAATAAAAAAGGACACATGAAAAATAAAAGGGCACATGAAAACAAAGGCACTTGAAAGTGAAAAGGGCACATGCATCACTTTACTACTGTTACTTGCTGCTTGAAAAACTAAGTAACTTACAACGAAAAAACGGTTTTGAGGTCTCTCTCGGATCCCCGGTACCGAATCCTACTTAGAATATCAGTTATAAACTATTACAATAACTAAGAGCTAAAACTGTTTAAATACCCTTGCAATATCTATTATCTATCCCAATAAATAAGGCGCGTCCGGGGGAGCCCTTACAACATATTGGCGGTAAAAGCGGGAAGGCTGGATTGCCCTTACAAAGTCAAAGTCAAAATCATTTATTCATATATACGTAGGTAACAGGTCTTGGCCTATTTAATTTTATGATTTAATATACTCTAGCTAACCTACTAATATAATATTTAGGCCTATGTAACTAATACAAAAATGACCATAGGTCTGATTGAATAAATAGGTTATTATTATTAATGTGAGTATAACGATAACATAATCAGTTCGCCCGCGAGGTGCGAACAGCGAACTTCCAGCGAACAGCTGACATAAATATGACGTCATCGTCAATTAGCGGTGACTCATCAATAATAATCGGCTTCGTCTCAGACACTCGGTGAATGAACCACTAATAATAATTTATTGGGTAACTGGATATGGTAAATATCAAAGCATAAATCTACTGATATTATACAAGATTTGATTTGATTTGAAGTTAAAACTCACCAATGTATAGCAATATAATATACTAGCGGACCCGACAGACGTCTTATATACAAAAAGATCTAATTGTAAATTTTAAAACATTCCTGAACACTTATTTATTTATAATAAAAAAAATTGCGACGGTGCAACACGAATTGGTCAGAATTTTTCCGACCATCGAAGCGTCGACATTTACTACATAATAATATAATAATTATTGATTATAATTGAAAATTAAAATTTCATCAAAATCGTGTGTGGACCGACACAGAAGATTTATATAATCTATATCAATATTCGTGTGAAATCAGTCTATTACACTGTTTAAAACTGATATGTTTTTCATAATAGCGAAAATACGTAAAAAATAATAACATATAGATTATAGGAGGAAACATTCATAGAGTATAAGGAATTGTAATTATTATTCTGTGCCAAGATGAATACCGTTTTTTAAAACTTAAGGAAGTTTTTGCCGCTAACCTCCACTATGTGGCGCCCACTAAAGTATTTCCGAACCAATTCCACTAAGGGTCCTTCAAGAAGAGCGTACCAGTTTTTCAAATGGCCGGCAACCCACTTGCGAGCACTTTCACTTCTGGTGAAATAAAAAAAAACTCAATTCGTTGTCTGATGTTCGTTACCTGAAAACTGCCAAAGCAAGCTCCTCCAGGCAGAGTCACATAGCAGACATATGGCGGGTGCGCAGCCGGTACTGATTCGTAGATGACTAGCGCGCTACTACCACCGCTCGCTGTGTTGCCATTTCTCGATGCCTTGAGTTGCCAGAACTCTTGTAATGCTTCAACTACGTTCACTGTTGAGAGTACGCCATCCGCTGTAAAGACAAAACTTATTAATTAAACATAGTAAAGTCTTGACTTGGATTTTGATTTGGATTTGTTCTGCACTAGTGTTACTAGAACGAAGAAAGCCCTTTGTGATCGATACTTTGAGTTATTTAGATTTTAAAATAGCTGCCTTGAGAGTTTTTTGAGCATTGGTGTGTAAGGATGTGATAATGCCTAAGTGTGGAAACTGATAATTGGCCTTCATCATATTAATTGTATATTATTGAACATTTTTTAGCTGTAAGTTTCCCTAAAATAATAAAATAAAATAAAATTGAATATTTGTTCTAGTATATGTCATGTAAAAATATATAATTTGAGGTTGGCAAGAGATAGGACGAAAGGTGACGTTTATTTAACTGTAACAAAGAATATAATATCCAAATTTTACACTAACCTAAACTTAATCAGTTTTATACTGTTTTACAGTAATGTGTCTTTTTATCGATATATTCTTTGACAGGTTAGATGCATAGATAGTTAAACCGCCTATGCGGGTAAATGGATAACTAGTCAAGGTTCAAAAGTCAACTAAAAAATAATTGTTGTGAATTGTTTGGTATAAAAGTACGAAGACTTAAATATTATAAAAAATTAGAAAGCAAGACATATAGCTGCTTTTAATAACCATGGGGAAAGATATGTACTCTTAGTTAGTAGTAGTCTCAATACGTACTTCATAGTATCAATTTTCTACTAAAGAAATAGATTAACGCCCGCCTTCCACTGCGAGCGGAACGGACCCATTACGGACTCCGCTGTACTCGTAAGTCGTAACGATGATTTTCACACATTTTCATTTTCATTTCCGTGGGAAACTCGGTCAACTCGCTAACCTCATAAGTGACTCTTTCAACTCACTCTCTCCTCTGCGCTCGTCTCCGCTTTGGTAGAAGCACATGTATGAAAATCATCGTTACGAGTCCGTTCCGCTCGCAGTGGAAGGCGGGAATAAGCGTTACGTCAAAAGAAATCTCGGAGGCTGTTATTATAAAACATCAGGAATTTAATTATTATAAGTAAACAGTAACTTAAAATTTAAAAATTACAGGTTATTTTAACATAATATTTTTCAATTTCATTTCGTTATAAACACGAAGATCTCGCTGAAATTTAAGAAGTGAACTCAAAACACGAGCATAATTCATGTTGACGGAAACATTTACAAAAGGTGTCCAAGTTAACCCATAAATTGCCGGCTTTAATTAAATCGAGGGGTGATCAAGGAAAATAGTATTAAGAGGGTCTTGACTTGTTGTTCCAGTATAAGAAATTTCATTTAAAATTATTTATTTATAATTCATAAAATACATTGAAAAAAAAAACTAACCTTAAAATATAATAACTAAAATAATTTACATTGAAAAAAAAACTAACCTTAACATAAACTAAAATATATTATTAAAAGGAGTCCCTTTAGGCAAGGTTCCGAAGATACTGGCAGCGTTCCCCCTTTGAATCGCTAGACTAATTCTTTGTCCGAGGTAGCTGCCAGATCTTCGGTCTCCTGTGATGTCGACTAACCTTTTTGATATGTGTTTAAAAAGCCTTAAAGCGCTAGGACCCCACGGACCAAGGGTCTCGACACCGAATGGGACAAAATCATATTCTGAGCCTAGACCCCTGTATTTCATTTAAAATATATAGATTCATGGATACTTTAATTTATGGGTGAGATTGGCAAGAGTTTTGATTCATGATTAAAATCTTAAGTTAATTATGTTTATAGAATTCGCGTAATTGAAAACAAATGCTAGTTATTTTATTTGTGCAGCAACATATTTTTATTTAATTAAAATATTAAAGGGCAAAATCCTCTCACAACAACGAGGACATATTCTATCAATTAAACTGGTGATGATATTTTACATGATATTGTACCAATACTTTCGCAATTAACCGTTTAAATTAACTTTCAAATTGTTGTAAAGCTGGTGAATTTGTAAAATGAAGAACGAAACTGTGGATTTGATTGTCATTTGACAATTGACATCATATTATGACGTTTCATGACATTTGTCGACGCGTATTGGACTTGACTAATCACAATTAAACGGAACGTATTTCGTATTCTCTTTCTTTTTCACAGCCCCAGGTGCTTCCAATTTCAACATATGATTCTGGCTTGAGGCATTGATTTTGAATCTTTAATTTAACAAATATTTTATTCAAACGTAAATGTTAATGCTACTGACAAATTGCACCAAATTAAACTAAGTCAAGTTTTATAATAACTTTCCCTATGCAAGACTAGTTTGAAAAATTTAAGTTTAAACTGTTTCATTTCCAAACAATCTATAACTTTAACACGTCTTCACAATTTTTTTTTAAATTTTATTCTTTAATAAAAAATCTATTACCAAGACGAATATATTACTTTTATACTGGTAAAGTTATTTTGAATGCGTAACATATTAAATATATTCGTGTAAACTAAAGGCAATATGTTAAATACAATTGATATTTATTGTTTCCGTACAATATTAGCAAATGCCATTGAATTCTATCACAATTGTGGAATATATCTAAAGTAACATTACAGAATGCCGAACAGGATTAGAATGAATTGCGGTTTAACTCGGGCATAGATAGTAGACACTAATCTCATAATACTCGCCTCTATTATCTATGCTATTATTGTAAGATTTCGCACGATTTTCACAAATATCTTGGGAACTGAAAGCCAGTATATTGAATGTTATTTCTTAATATCGTGTATCGAGACAGTTATGAGAGAACAATGTTCTATCATTAGGTTATATGAATCGTTTGAATGCTACAAAGGCGGAAAATAACCGAGTAAATGTGTTTAAAGAAAATGTAATAATTTTAAAAACGGTGTTTTTATTATTTTGACTTTTGTGAGAGCAGTGTGGCTTCATCGTGCGACCCTAATGTTTGAACCCCAGCTGTGCACCAATGGACTTTTCTTTCATTTAACACTTGCTAGTACGGTAAAGGAAAACATTGTGAGGAAACTGGCATGGGCGTGTGTCAGGCTGATCACCTATTAGAAAAATAATGATCACGACATGTTCAGAAATCAGAGGTCGAAACCAAAAGGTTGTTGTGGCGATTGTTTTTAAAGATTAACTACTATAATGTAACGATTACTATATCAAATGTAATATATCAAATATATAATGTAAAGTAAATATAGTACTCGTATATATAAATTTGCTGTTGAGGTACAGTCAAACTGTAATGACAGTTATGTGGGCCTTTGATTTTATTATAGATTGAAGAGTTAGCTTTAATCCACAGACTAAAGCTAACATTAAACACTTCACTAGAGACATATTTAAACGTGATACTGGCAATGTGTTGTAAAACATTCAAATTCGGAAATCTTTTATACAGACTATCTCACATTGAAAACAAAAAGAGTCTTTAATCCGGGACATGGAGTTCCGAACTCGAAGCGATTGTCGATTGTTTGCACTGTGACCCGGAAGGGTTTCCTTTTATTTCAATTTTAAATTTCGAACCGGAATATTTTATAGGTCTATTACAAAAATAATGACAACCTCTTAAAAAATATCGCATAAAGTCAAAACTATTGCCATAATATTAAAAAAAAATCGACAATATTCACAAATAACTCTGCGCTCTGGCTTTGTCTTTTTAGCAAAAGATACAGAATGCTAATCACGTAATTCAAACAAGTGGGAGCCGTGTGGAACGTAAGTGCAGTACAACCTTAAAAATTGTCGCCTACACTTATTTTTAGTTCAGCGTCATGAAAGAGTCCTTTGAAGCTCATGAAATAGAGATATATACGTTTTCATTCGAAAAGGAACGTGTTAGTTCGTTGAAACGTGAGAAAGATTGATTTTCTAAACTCTTGTTGCATTTCGAGCGCCTATTTTCTTATTTATTTTCTTGAACAATTGAAGCTTTAACTATTTAACTTGCATTAGCAGTTCTAAAAACTGGAATATAATTAAATAATTTTATATAAATAATTCCTATCCTATTTTAATTATTTCTTAATAATTTTTGAAGTGAAACTTCTTTATCGAGGTTGGAAAAAAATTTAGTGTAACATTTTTTCGTTACGCGTCACGTTTTTCGGTTACGCGCCATGTTCCTTTTGAAGTCAAACTTCTTTATCGGGTTGGAAAAAAATTACCGTCATATTATTTATTATTGAAGTGAAACTTTTTATGAGGTTGGAAAAAATTTAGTGTAAATTTTTTCGTTAGGTCAATTTTTCGGTTACGGCATGTTGTTTTTGAAGTCAAACTTCTTTATCGGCGTTGGAATGAAACTTCTTTATCGACGTATGGGAGAAATTTTGTAGCAAATCGTCACGTTTTTCAATGATAGTATCTAATAATTCTATTAGATACAATTAATGAAATTCTATAATAATCTTCGTAGTAGTAAGGTAAAATGAAATATTTGTATTCATGTCTATGATAATAAAAGCCTTTTGTTTAACTTTATCTAATTTAACGAATTTCTGTAAAGTTGATATAGTAGATCATTTTTCGAAAAATAAGATCATAAAGAAGTTTACTTCTTAGTGTGAATAGTAAAAAATTATATTTTACCTAATAATCTTCAATTACCATTCCTCAAACAAACAATTGTTTTTTCACAACAGAGAAAATAATATAGATTAAAAATATAATGTTTAATTTATTCAATATGGCAACCTCCTCTGACATTTTGACGTGATCTTATGGATTGTGGCGTGGAAGAATTATGTTATTACACCCAAGACGATTCCTTACTCACGTATGAAGAGCTTTATTTAAATTTTATACAGGTGTAAATAACGCTTATATTTCAGGTCGTTAAAAGGTTGTGTAGGGTGTAATATGCTCGAGTTACACCTATTTGGGGGTTACCATTGACCGGCAGCTATCCTTACGGCACCACGTCTCTTGGGTCAGAGGGTTATACCGCAACCACCAGGCAGCATCAACGCAGGGTGCGAACCAGCCACAACCTTAAGGGCATACGCCATGAACGGGTCTACATACTCGCGAGAAAGGGGCGTAACAAGATCATCGGATCGAATATGTATATTGTGTCAAGTTGGTAATTAGTGTGTTTGTGATGTCAGGACAAGCAGCGGATTATTTAAACAAATAACATACAATCAATTATATTACAATTATCTAATGGCTTTTGATACAATTTTATGCGTAAATACATAAAATAGCAATTAGGCTTACTGGTGATAGTTATGTTTTAAATGTTCTAATCAGAAATATGGGTCTCACTAGGCAGTCGACGTCCGATGACGATACCCATCTGCAGGTATAAACAACTCTAACCACTCTCTTGTCTGCTATATGCTACGTATATATTAAAGACCTGTCAGACTTATAAAATAGGAAATATTAAAAAAAAAATCAGTAAGAAATTAGTTCATTAAATTATTATTGGATAAGCTGAATGCTCTAGGGTGTAGGTGGCAAAAGACTTGGGACAATATTGAAAAGTTTCTAAACCACTTAAGATTTTATCTCAAGATTGAAACCTGAAGTTTCAATCAAGCTGTTTTCGATTTCAACTTCTCTTAATATCCTTTTAATTGAACAAATTTGTTTTAAAGGATAGTTCAATAGTGGAATAAAAAAAGTGTGTGTGTGTCAGCTACGACGCACGATTGGAGTTTACTCCTTACGAACGATAAAATGGCGATAATGTTCTGTGGCTGTCGACCATATTTTCATACTAAAGGTGGTAAGAATATATGTATTTATAATATAAATGTTTGTAGTAGTAATACCTACATCATCTATGCCCAAATAGGATTTTTTTTCAGTGACCAAAGTTACCTTTATAGTAAGGGAAGAATAAGAATGAACAATCTTTTTAGTTTTAATTTCACTGACCATTACTATTGACAAAACTCTATGGCACGCTAGACAATCTACTTTTATTTTTTACACCTGTCAACACTGACAATAATGTAACGAGGCTGTCAAAACGTGAATTCAAAATAGAAAAGTCTGTGTAATGTATTCCATCTCATTCTTTTACACGTTCAATCCTACAGATATATATGTTTGTCTCTTTCTACATAACGCCTCAACTTTTCGTGTTACACTTGATTTTACTCCTCATAAAATTTCCGTACTGGGCCTTATAACACAAATCGTTTCTTAAGGAGTAAACTCTATATGTTTGTCTCTTTCTACATAACGCCTCAACTTTTCGTGTTAATTGATTTTATCTATAAAATTTGAGTGCTTATAACACAAATCGTTTCTTGAGAAGTAAACTCCAATAAACTCCAAATACAATACTATTGATTTAGATTTTAATTTGTTTTCCAACCCCTAATGTTTGACAGTTAAAGATACATGACATCAATAGTTATGACTAAAACGTACTCGTATGAGCGCAATGTGAACCTAATCATGCATAACATAATAATTGTAATAGCGCGTAGCTCTCACGAATAAAAAAGCACAACCAAATTATTACACTATGAATAAAAACATCAGAAGGAAAACTTGTTACTTTTCGTCATCCCTCGAGATATTTAAATATGAATAGTGAGGGAAAAGTGAAAAAACAACATTTGTCTTTGACGTTAACAGTGGAATAGCTTAGCGTAGCTTTAAAACATTTTCCCCTTTTGATCATAGTGAACCGTACATGTTTGATAAAAATATAGCTTAATCATTATTTAAGATATATAACAATAATTTAATAGTGAATAAACGAACTGAATTGACTAATTACTCTTATTACGGGTTATTAATAAATCTTGAATAGTTATTAAAATTTTCGTAATCACCACGTATTTAAACTAAAAATCGTTTTGCTAATAAACTTTCCCGTGTTCTGATATTATTTATATATTAAAATGTGAATGGGTACTTAATTAAAAATTCTTATCATTTAATAAATGCGTATAAAAGATCGCAATCGTATAAAAGTTCGAGCCAAACTTGATAAAATACTCGATTAATCGTAATGTTAACTAATTTAACGACTCAATGATTTTAAGGGAATGGTCTATCACATTTGAATTATTATTTCATTTCAAATTAGACCCCTCTATGGGGAATTGTATTGCATCGAATTGTATAGTTTTTTTCGGTTTTTGTAATTAAAAATAACGTTGTGTTAACGTTATTCACAACAATACGTACGCAAGAACAAAGTGTGTTCTCCTAAATAGAGACTGTAAATAGTGTTATTGGACACTTACTAATGTTAAATATGCTTTTTAGTAAATTAGGTTAGTTTTACGTTATACACAAAATGGGTGAAGATATAAACAAAAGTTTAAATAAAAGATAAAAATGTATAGGAAACACAATAAGATATTTAACTTGCAACTTCATCATTGGGTTACATTAGTATCGGTCGCACGAAGGCTTTACGTGTCTAACCAATAAATGCTTCAGTGAATCGATCCCGTCTCGATACTCTAAGCTTTTCTCCGATCTATGAGCGTCATTCTTTACTTCCTGGTGGTTTCATATAAAGACTAAATTGTTGACAATTAGAGTACCACGTTTCTCAGATATTTCCCACGGCTTTTTTTTATTGTGGTACACTAAATCTAATCTTTTACTAATCTTTTTTCTGCCTCGTAGCTACTACTTACTACTAATATATTAATTGTGAGTCAGTTAACCTTAGGCTGAGCTTTTACATGTATGTTTGGACATACTATTATTTATACCTTTTCTTTAGATTTTATTTAATTTAATTTTAGTTGCATGTTATTTTTAGTATCTTTTTGTTAATTAATTATGCATCTCTTGTACTTTACCCTCTTTACGTGTTTATTTTTTTCGATTGTTCCATTTTAGGGTGGCCTGGAAGAAATCGCTTGTTAGCGATAAGGCCGCCCGTTGCCTAATAACTCATGTAACCTACTTACTTTTTGGTTTTGTTTCTATATGTATAATTATGTGTATTATGGCAACGAAGTATAAATAAATAAATAAATCTACTCCTTGGCAAAATTTTCTTATCTCATCACAAATCGCTATATTTACCTATTAATCGTAAAATAATCCGTTCGGTCGTTTTATTCACGCGTTCATACAGAGAGACGTGGCCTGTGTACTAGATTTTATATGTATAGATTGTTCAATAATGAAAGTGACCTCGAACATTTGATATATAATTTACGTATTACTAAACTATTTGTAGTTCATATACTTTTGGGTTGTATTTATTGATTTAAGATTCTATTTATTTAAGGTTTCGCAAAATAAAAACCATTATTATTAAGAGTAATTGTAAGTATTATGTTTTATAATGTACTCACTCTCTCGTTCTCTCAAATTGTGTTTGAGGTGAAAAGAGACAGGTAAACAGGTTTGACTGATTTAGTTTTTATGAATTATTTATATACTAAGTGTCCTTCAGATACGAGAGATTTTTGTATGCCCCAATACTTGTCAATAATAGATTTGGGAATAAGGCAATTTTATTACCCGAACACCTTTATTCAGCTCACATCTCGACGCTAAAACCGTTTAATCGAACCCTCCTACCTCTATAAGTATATCAATACTGCTATAGGAAGAAATTTGAAGTACTGATTCAGCAAAAAAATATTATCAGATGTAGATTTAAAAAAAATACCCTTGTACAGACGGTAAAATCGGAGTTTGTGTTAGCCTGCTGATTGAGTATAAGTTTGTGATTTATATTATTATAATTCATATTTCAATGACATTCATGTATAGGAAGGTGTATGCAGGAACTTACAAGTATCTTAAATGGTTGGAAATCAAAAAGAGTGGCGGAGTATATCATGCTTTGACGAGAAGTCTCTTTCGTCTGTTCTACGAGAGTTATTGACTTTAAAATTGTAATTTTAGGGAGTGGCTTTTAATGTAAATGTATTGTAGTTGAATTTAATGATTTTTAACGTTCATAAGGGACAATAAGCGTTCGTAAATAGTTCTGATGATAAAGAAAACGAGACACGCGTTAGATGTTATACTTCTTTGGCGTAACAAGTTAAATTCTTTTACAAAAATTTTAGCTTTCGCCTGATTCTACGTTTGTAGAAAGAACGACACTAACAATAGAAAAAAATTTACTCTCATCATTTTTACCTAAAGTGCCACAAGAAGTATAACTTCAAAAAATTTATTGCAAGAGTTAAAAGCTTTTTAAACCGTTAAAAAAGATGTGCGCGTACACACAATAAAATCTAACTTTTACTTCCGTTATATCACATCATTATAAAAATAATTTTCAAACATAAAACAAATTTCTATATCTAATACATGTTAACCTAAAATAAGTAATGATCATGATATGGCAAAAGCCTCTCAATATTTAACTTTCGCAAATGTTAAAGCAATTACCGGAGGCTCTACTCCCACAACATAATTATCATAATGATCGAAGGGAAAGCGGATAGGAAAGTGTTTCTATAAATACAATATTATTTTCCCGTTAAATTATTTTAACAGATTACGTTTACGGAAGCAGTGTTGGCCTAGTAGCTTCAGCGTGTGACTCAGCTTGAGGTCTTAGGTTCGATCCTCGGCTTAGGGAGCGTTCAAGTATTACGTCACGCAATTTTTGGAGAATATTGACTTCCCCCCCTCCACGTAACGCGCCGTTACGTTTTTCTGTACCTAAGTATAGTAAAACGTTTCGTGACCACCTAGTGACTCTTTATACAAAAAATTTACCATTATGTGGTGTAAAGTACCGGAAAGTCGAAAATAATATTAACAATAACGCGTAATTCAATCCCCGCCCCGCATCGTAACGTTTCATAAAAGGACCCCCCCCAAAATTACGTAATACTTGAACGCTTCCTTAGTGCTTATTCTTAAATGGCCGGTAACGCACGCGCGAGCTTTCTGGCGTCGAGAGTGCCCACGGGCATATCACTTAACATCAGGTGAGCCTTTAGGAGATTCTTTATATATCTCACTTTTCACACCAGCGCTTATGCGCTTGATAAGAGCCAGATGCTAAATTCTGATAAATGTGGCGTGAAAACGCTAAGTTAGCTAGTGG